ACAACATGCAATGTAGACTGACGACGTGCTCCTGGAGACAAGTTTTCAAACTGAGTCAGCCTCTCTTTTTTTTTTCTTTTTGAATGAGTCAACCAAACCACCACAGAGCCCTTTCGTTTCTCAGAGCCATGCCCTCAACCCTCCCTCACACACGAGTACTCACTGCCTGCATTTGCCTTACCTCACCACACCATCACTTCCTCCTGCTTTGTTAGGATATGTGTGCAAATAGCAATGTATAAACATTTTCCATGGAGAAACTGCTACTCAAGTGTTATTGGGAAAATCATGTCAATATGTATTTCTATCTTGTTTAGGTATTAGTTGTATGGCTGTTTTTTATCAATGGCTTTAATCTCACTGTTTTTCTTGAAGGTCTATTTTCTCCAACAATGACATAAGATAATGACCTGCTATGATGAGCAATATGGTACACTATCAGCCAAGCTAATACTGGAGTTCTATAATCTTCTGTGTCCAGTGATCTCCTGAGTCATTTACTGTATGAATCAGTCATGTTACCAGGAAGAGACTCTTAAGTCTCATTTGACTTTTCTCAGACTTTTTTTCATGCTAAATCATATCATATCTACACTGGTGGGGTTGCTAAATGGTCACACCAGCATTTTTCTCCCATACAAGACAGGATTCTGTGAACAAGGAAGTGGAGGAGGTAAGCAAGGAGGGGTGCTCTTCTGTTGACTCAACAGGAAGTGATGGACTAGGGGTAAATAAGGTGAACGAAGGGAAGGGATATAAGGTGGGAGTGACGAGAGATAAACATGAGGAATAAAAGAAGATTGACTTTGTCATGCCTCAAGACTCTGAGCTATGTTACAGGAGAAACAACAGAGCATGTGATGGTCAGGCCAGGTGTCAGCTACCCTCTTGGCCAGGTCACACTTGTGAAAAGATCTGGATCTCAATGGGCTAATTACCTGATTAAATACAAATCTGAAACCTGTAACTATCATTGTTTTCTTCTTTCAGAAAGACGCCCCTGTATGTGATGAGCTGGCAATTCAAAAAGACTTTGACCTAAGTACAAGTTGTGACCAAAGACAAATATTGACAACGTCCTCTTGTCACTTCTATTTACTGAAAAAGAACATTCTGTTTGTCTCTGTCCTGTTCAGCAACCTTGAGTCAGTTCCAAATGTTTTTTTTTACACTCTGATGATATGGAGGGAGCTGCAGCTTAGGATATTACATTTTATTTTAATGTATAATAAAGATTTAAAACGGTACACGGCCAACAAGACAGTGCAGTGGTACACCAAACACACAAAGATAGATAACCTAAAACCCAACTAAAAAAGATACTGTACGTTCTATATGGTATGCTTTGTGTGATAAGACACATAAAAACATACTGTAGACATTGTAAGTGAATACATGGAGCTAAATGTGACAGTGCTGTCTTACTGATTAAAGGATACTTACATACGTTAGCAAACCAAAACAAATCTTAAAGTAAGCCCAGCAGTGCGTATTAAATTTCTGTAGAAATGTCCTTCCTGTCTTTGTCCTCCCCTATTCAAGTAATGCTTTGGATGAACCGGAATTTAACTTCACATGGGTTGTGGAAGGCCTCCCACTGGGCCTGCACACCCCCAGTCCAAGTTTAGGCCTCAGATCCTGGGTGGGGAAGCTGCCCAAGCCTTCAGCGCTGCATCCTGGGCAAAGAATCGTTCTTTTCATGCTCAAATCTCTGCCATTCATTGAAGCTGTTACTGTGAAATCAGATGTCACAGGGTTTAAATCACTTAAATCTTGCCGCTTCCCCAATCAATTCTTTGCTGACTGACTGTTTTGTTTTACTCTGTTGGTACCCTGGGAAAAAAAGTCCTCTTGCTTCCTTCTTTTTATGGGGGTAGCAACTGAACCTTTAATGGTGTATGTTTCCACATGTTTTTTTTAATGTTTTTTGTGTGTCTAATCATTCATATACATTTCATTCAAAAGCAAATTAGCTTTCTGGAATTCCACATACTAAATATATGACCTTTATAATATAAACTATATACTAAATCTACTCCATTTACCATCAGAGAGGGAGTATATTCTCTTGGCTCACAGTGCAGTTCCAGAGCTACCCAAAAATCAAAAGCAACACAAAGATCTTTCTTCAGCCCACCCTCCTCATGCTCCTGTTGACTGTCTTTGATAACTGAGCTGTCTCCTCACGAGTTGAGGTCAAAGGCTTTGGTGTGAAGCCCACTCAGACATTTGAGGAGCCTGACGCCTCCAACTAGTCAGACCCGAGTGCACATTTATTGAATTAAAAAGATTAAAACAGATTGGGTATTTCAAATCACACATAACTCTTTAGACAGCAGCGACAAAATATAAGTAGACGGTGACTTTTAACCTCTGCATCCCTTCTCTATAAAACAAATTCACAAGCAAATTATATAGTCATACCCTCTGTGTGGAAGTCCACTTTCACATCCATGTTCCATGTCAGACTTCAGGAAGAGGTGGGTGGTAACAATGAGGTGCAATAACTTCTAACTATAACTTCTGCTCATGTATGAGCTGCAACTGGTGTATTTTCACCCTGTTTTTTAATGTTACAGGTCACACATATAGCTGTGACAAAAGTCCTTTTTTGTTACAACCTCATTGATTCACATGATTGAGTGCATTACAACTAAAAGGAATGCGAAACTCAAGTATAAGACAGGATGAAGCGTGACTTTGAAAACAGCAGCAGGCCAATCAGTGTGCAGCCTGTAACAGGGCTCTGATTACTATTACATGTTTGTACACAGCTGGTTCCTCTATAAGAGAATTCCATGTGTCACCATGTCAGGATATCGGCCTACACAAATGTTTTTAACATAGAACGTGTATGTTAACACCTACTTACTTAATACTCCAGATAGAGACATTGTTAAATCATTGGTAGGCAGACATTTATCACCTGGGCTATTTCCAATGTCAGAATTATCTACTGCTCAAAGATTTGTCTGAAGAGATATGAAACAGATCTGGTTGACATATCAGATATAATGCAGATACTATTGTCCCTGTTTAGAAGTTTTAGGCCTCATATTTTTTCATTCCTGCTTTTATCTTGATGCTTCTTATCTTTTATCAAATTTATGAACAGAAGGCTTTACACTCGTTTAATCTTAGATGGTTAATCTTTGATTTTGCAGTAGCATGAGGGAGTTCCTTCGGTGAAATCCATCACATCACCAGAACAAGAGGAAGAGGGGGTTACAGATGTAGGAGGTGGGCTTCTGACAGCATTGACAGCTGCGAGGGACGGAGGTCTCTCAGAGCAGGAAATGACTTGACCTTCCCAGTGGGAGACCGGCCCACCCCGGCAAATACCCCCACACTTCTAGCCATCCTGGGTCGCCTCACGAGCCCACAGAGGCAGCGAAGCAACAGCAAAGTGTCAGGCATACTGCTGTGTCACCTCTAAACAACTAACAACCATATTCCCTTTAAAGTGGATGCAGATCAAGATGTGAGTGCAGCGTGACAATTGACAGCCTCTATGTGACCCTGGAATCACATGCTATACCAGTCACTTCATTGCACAACAGGAAGTTGATCAAACAGCATATTTGCTGAAAGTATGAGTATTCCTTTAGGCAAACAAATAAGGGTTGGTGAAATGTAAGCACGTCATATGTGGAATATTTATTTTGTGGGTTTGTGATGAACAGAAGCAATAAGTAAAAGGCACTCCTTTATCCATATATGGAATTAATTTAAAGAGTGTGACCAGTGAAACAAATAAACAATAGGACGGGGGGTTGGGGGCATTTTCTCTCACTTTAAAGTATTTCATGCTTATTAGCCTGAGTATTTATTTGGTTTATTATCACAATAATACACCTATTTAAAAGTTTGGAGCAAGGCTATGATGTATAGTGTGGTCTGAACTGGTAAAAACAAAAATGGCCTGCACTTACTTCCCTGTTATTTCTTGATAAGTGGCCGCCTGCATTGTCCTTCTGCCCCTCTCAGCGTGGGTGAAGACAAACACAGACAGTGTGACATTTGGGCTTTAAAACAAATCCTCTTCCAAATTGATTGGGCAGCCAATCTCAAACTTGTTCTTCTCTATCAGTTGCATTTTGTACGTGCCAAAAGCCACCCACATATGACTCCCACACAGGTCGGACCAGGACTGTTTGCTGCTTTATGAAGGGCAATTTCCCATGCTCACATTACATTAGGCGTAAATCTAGCCTATATCTAGAGGTCTCTGTGAATTTTTACTGTTGATGTACAGAGGAGCTTTCTGTTGAGAAAACTTTTTTTTGTTCTAAAATATTTAGGAATCTGCATCTCTGAAATATGAACCCTCTACAAATTATCTATACAATGTATTACGTTTTAATAATATAGTTTTGTGTAGTTGGAGCCGTGGTTAAGTGTTTTCTGTTTTCCATTTTAATTGGAAGTGAGGAATTGGAGTGAGTGTCTGAATATTTATTTGTCAAACATTTCAAACTGAAAATCCTACAAGCTGATAACCTCTTCTCGTAACAGTTGAGGAGGAAATATTTATATTGAACAATATAGCCCAGCATCAAATTACACTTAAGTATTTGAAGCATTGGTGGCCTTATAATATGCTGAATTACTAAATTACGATAATTTCATTAGCATGCAAAATTGTATGATTAGCTGACTTAAATCCCTGAAGTGGCTCACTGTGTTGTAGTTTAGCGAAGATAATTTTAGGTAATATAACATTTTTTTTAGATTAAAAATGTAATCTGCAAAGAAATATAGTGGATTTAATGCAACATGCCTATGTAGCCTATCTGTGAAAAATACACTTAACAGGTAATTCATAAAAAATCACCACTTCTGTTTCATGAGAACGTTTTCGCTACGTTTTCAAATGGTTTTGAATTATTCCTGATGGTTTAAATACTTGATGGAGATTTTATTCCCCTTTAAGACTGAGTTGGGTGGAGTCACATAACGCGCCCGGACTGCTGCATGCACTATAAGGAGATGTGGAAAACCGCGTCACTCCAACTAATTGAGTTTCATGTCTCAGTGTTGTTGACAGGAGGGATGTTGCACATGGTTCAATTTTGACTCGCAGACTGCCTCATACAGCAAACCGGACCGACTTTAGTGATCCTTCTCTACGTGATGGACAAATAGACTTCATATTCATGGTAAGTCTTCCTTATCCATTCAGGCAAGAAGTCAGCTTATTTGATGAAAACTTGGCTTTACAACCACTTTAACCGAGTAGGCTAACCGGGAGAAGTAGAACCTAGCCTAGGATGTGTTGACAGCAGATGGACTTTCTTATTCAGTATCATAAAGTTACCCTGGATTTGATTAATTTCATGAACTCCACGATAAATGTCAAATAACCTGGAGACGTTGAGGCTGATAAAACTTTTATGTTAATCGCTACAACTTTGATTGTTCAAGTGACAAGGTCCTGTAAATAAAATATATGAAGCTAGATTGAGCTCGTCTGAGAGGGTTATGTGTCTGTCGGCAGCGGTATAGACAGCAGTCCTGTCCCGCTGTACGGTTCTCCCATGTCCGCCGAGTGAGGCGGGATGCGTGAGCCCTGAGCTTCGGACAGCATTGGCCATTCCTATTCAGCCGCTAGTGGGCGCTGAAGAGGGATTTAGCAAACACCAGTTTGTGCCAAAATAGTGCCAAAATATTCCAGTTATCCTATTGTAGACTTTTTTTTTAACTTACTTAAATTTGCTTAATTTATATCTGTCTATATATGGGCCTAATTAGCCTAGGCTATATGACATGTTGGTAGATCTAATAGTTATCCTTACTAAAACCGAAAATCTATTAAAGCACTCAGGCTAGAAAATTTAAATTACTTCCATCATGACCTTCAATGGTGAACATGACTCAATAAATCTAATTTAGAAATAGTTTCTTTCAAATTTTCTGATGGTTACTTAAAAATCTACAGTTAGCATACTGAGTGATACTAGCCTACATGATCTATTTTAATATACTTTTTTCTTTTTTTTTTTTACTACTAGACACATGTTACATATGAATATGATAGACAACATTAAGGAAAGCTGTCAATAGTTTAAATATTTAGCCTTTAAATATAGTTTATACTGTGATTTCTGTGATTTACTGTCTCAAAATGTCATTTTATTTATTTCTAAATCCTCTCTGTAGCCTATGTGTTTGTGAAGTGATTCATTAAAAAAAATCCAGCAGTCAAGCAGTATCTTACTAACTTCCATAGCAGCGAATGTAACTTGCAGGCTGTGAGCAAATGAGAATTAAGTGAATAATTGATTTCAATAGTATGTTGTTATGTTATGTAAAAATTAATATCATATTAAACTGCATGAATACTATAGAGTAAACTACACACTATGCCATGAATGAAATTGCCCAATCCCAGAGACCTATGATTCACTCGTATCGCCCCACGCTCTGGAGTACTTAAGCCTAGATTCAAACATTTAGATTCAAAGGTTTGATTTTTCACACACATACATAATCTTGTCTGCAGTGACATGTTGGTGGGCTTGTCTTGAGCCTTAGCTAACAAGTGTTCTGTGCAATAAGAATGATAAACTGAATCAGTAAGAAGTCGTATCAAATAATATATTTAAAAAAATAATAAATAAAATAACAAATAATTTAAAGATGAAATAATATAGATGATTGGCATAAACATATTCAAAGCTCTGGTTTATAAAACTGTGAGTGAAAAGATTGAAGTCCAGCAGTATGAGTATTGGAGTGGAGAGGAGTGGACATAAATTTGGTCTTTGATTTATTTTGAATGTTAAAACATCAGATGTACTTGTGTCACATAAAAAAGCAGATACAGAATACTCTTTCTACATGTGAAGAAAAAGATTACGGATGAATGTTTTGAAAAATGAAGGAGAAAAGTCATCTGCATCTTATCCTTCAGCCAGATGACGTGTCCACAACATGCCGCTCGGCTGGGTCGTGTCGCTTTAATCACATCGTGCTGCATGCAGAAAAATCAATGTTTTAATAAAGTGCACTGAGCAGCTTGTCCCTGTTGCATCTATAGATCACACCTTATACATCTGAGCTTATTAGAAATAACATTTATATAGTATAAAGTGTTTGCAACAGTCTGGTTTCTTATTAGACTTTAACACTTTTTCTTCTATAAAAGTAGCTACAGCTGTCTAGTTGGATTATTCGGTCAGTTGTAACACTTGATAAACTGTGAGTGTCACTTGGCCAGCACAGGTGACTTTATGTTGAAATGTAAAGCAACATGATCTAGATGTAAAAAATGTTTGTGTGTAAAGGTTCAGTCAATGGCCTATTGCCTGAAAAAAGGGAGGCAGATGGGACAGCCAAAGACAACTCATGGAGGCTCCTGCGTTTGATAAACAAACTGTGTTTTAGTCTCAGGCTTGTCCTTTTAACAGTGCCAACATGCACAATACTTCAGCAGGGGATTTGCAGCACAGGCTCATACCTTGGCCATGTGTGCTCGTCTCCATGGTGTATCTTCAGTCTTAACCTCATGGGAGAGTTCACTTGTATTTTCAGGCTTATTTCACTGCTCACCAAAGTGACACAATGGCCCATTCATGCTTAGAGTGGCTCCATTCATGGCCGCTGAGTACTTGCCGGTAAGATTCATAATTGTTCAGCGTCTTCCATCTCCGGCGTTCACTGGCGGAAATGACGCCACAGTCAGTTGTTTTAAGGATGACATAGTTATTCAAATAGGCACATTAGTCAGTGTTTTGTTTGTAGTGGTTGATTTTATTGCATTCTGCGTGCTTGGCATTGTGTGCTTCCCACACGGACTGCCGGCCGATCGGACAAAAAAACAAAGCCAGACTTTTTGAAGAATGAGATTGCTGTGTGATAGTAACACAGAGACCTCCCTTTGCCCCCTGGCTGAGTAGGAGGGGTGATTTACTAATTAGTTTGCAGGTGAATTGCTCTGTGATTCAGTTTTACTAACACATGTGGTTCCTGTAATTCTGAATGTTACTGAGTAAACTTCAGTGTAGTTCATGAATGATATCGGCCAATCACAGAAACTCTTGATTTAACAGTAAAAGTCAGACCCTCTGGAGGATTTACGTCTGGATTTAAATTCCAGATACAAGGCTTTATTTGCATGCTTACACAATGCTATGTGCTGTGAAATATGAGCTGCTCTATCCTGAGGCTATGCTGACAATAAAGAACTATAATGAGATGGCTGTAAAGGTAGGAAAAAGAAAATCAATCAGTGCAAAAATCAAAGTATGTTTTATATATATAGAATCACCATAAATGCTGTGGTCATAAAGCATGATGGATCCATTAGTTCCTTACAAAATACAGTAGAACATGTGGATATGAGCTGGGAGGGACACATTCAAGTTTAAACAATTCTGTGAATAACTCTGTTGAATTAAAGTCACCCAGAGCTGCTGGCATGTTATTTTACTAAGGTTAAACAATATGATTTGCCTTTCTTAGTTTGACTGCTACCCTCTGATAATTGAGCTAACAATGACATCATCAATACTTTGACTTAGAATTCTGCACCAGAGTGGATTTAACCCCATCTGCTGTCAAATCGTCTTCTAACCGTATACCATCTCACCCTCAATCGTGTGACACGCAATAAATACTGGTTATTACTGGCCCCAGAAATGTAATATAAACCAGGATGTATTGTTCATCTCCAGGTAAAATGACAAGTATAAATTGTCACAACAGGTGGCAATAAGCAGCCGTCTTGTACATAAGTAAAAATTAGAATAGTGAACATCTGAATCAAGATACATGGAGGCCTTTGTGCCCGTTTAAGCATATAAATTCATCATTCATTTTCAAAATGAGACTCTTGAACGTACCAAATGTAGCTTGATACCTCAAATGATTTACTTTCTTGCTCTCTAGTCTGTAGAACAATTTAATACAGACATGTTTTGTAATAGTGTGAGTCTTTTGGAATCACAGGAATGCTTCACAATTAGCCCCTGTTGTAAGGGTGGATACTGCAGGCTTCCATGGTCACAGAGAGAAGGGAGAGTGAGGAGTGCTGCTGCCCTCCTACATCTGACCCAGAGGTTGTGCAATAGCCTGCACATTAGACAAATGTCTTTAAGCTGGAACAACAAAGAGATACACATGGCAGCTGCAAGAGCAGACTGAAGAACATGACTTGGCTTTTGTTTTGACCGTTGTTGTTTGTTTTTAACCTAAAAAATGCTGAGTTTTGGTGGTGTAAGTTGTTGTTAAAGATAAGGTCAACTTGAAAAGATGTCTTGCCTTTTACTGTCTCTTAAAGTGCTTTTATCTTTTCTTAGGATGACATTTTCACAGCAAGAAATGTCAGCGCAGAGTAACAGGGCAGGAAGAATCAGGAAGTATGTCTGTCTTTAATGATGAGAATGAATTATTCAATTTTTAAATCACACATATTTGTGTTTGAACCTGTAAGTATTTGTTAAGTGGAGCTGCTTGGATTTTTTGTCCGGCCAGGTAAAATGAGATTACAGCTGCATGTGTTGCACAGGGTTCTGTTCCAGATGTACATGGTTTATTCCCTGTTTATAGGCATTTAACTCTGATGAAGGTGTGACTAGAACAAAACAAAGAAATTATGTCATGCAAATGCCGAATGACTCACCTGCCATGGGAATGTTCAGGAAAGGCCTAATGTTTATTTCTCTGTGTGTCTTTAACAGCTTACTGCTGACCAACATGAAGCTGTGATGGGTTTGATGGAGTTCTTCTCATGTGTACAAGATTTTGGCCGATACCGTACAGACCTTCACGTTTTTAAAGGAAACTGTTTTTAATGCAACATGGCCAGTAGTCAGAATAACTACTGGGGACAACATGACCTGAACAGGTATGCAAACAACACTCTCACACAGAAAGAAACAAAATGTAAAGTAGATTCAGTTACTTTGACAAAGTTTTACAAAACAAACTTTTTAAAGAGGACATATTATCCCCTTTCTCCACCTTTTCAAACAGTCCCCTGTGGTCTAAATAAAACATCTGTGCTGTGCTTTGTTCAAAATATAACATGAATCAAGCACCAGAGGAGGTTTGTGACCCTGTATAAACCAGCTCTCTCAGAACGCTCCGTTTTGGTGTGTGTGTCTCTTTAAATGTAATGACCCCCCCCCCCCCCGAGTTTTCCCAGTAGACATCAATCCTCTGTAGCGAGAATAAAAATTTCAGACCTGCGCAAAAGTTTTGTTCTAGGCTTGGGGTGGAGTCCATGGGGAGATACCAGGGGAGGGGAGGGGATTGTTTTACCAGAATCCCACTGTGACATCACAAGGAGAGCAAATTAGAAACGGAGCATTTTTATCTGTGTCGTAAGACTTATGCAGACCACAAACAAAGGACTGGATGGGTTTATTTCACATGTTGTGGGACAGTAGACACTCAAGTTACCCAAATAAATGTTCAAAAACACTGTCAAAGTGAATTTTTCATAATACGTCGACTTTAAATATTTCATTTATTTTTTAAGTTCATTACAATATCTTTTTTTTTGAGAGTCTCAATACATGGGACGCGCGCCCTAACCACTGCACCACCAGCGCGCCCCAAAGTTCATTACAATATCTGAAGTATAATTCTGGGATGAAGCCTATCCAAAGATTTGAGTAATTTTTCTGAAGTGATATGGCATGTCTCATAACTTGTGAGACACCCTTGTATAAAGAAAGAAAAGAACACAATTAAACAGTTTGTGAAAAGCATCAAAAATGGGATTCCATTTTCACACACAACACAAATATGCAATAGATGGGGTGCATGCAGAGGAGAGTGAGGCATCATTTGGAAACTGAATGACAGTAGTCAGTTAAAAAAAGATATCAGAAGAATCTGGCTCATAGAAGAGGTCAGGCAACCTGCAATGTTATTACATAATGTCAAAATATGAAACAGAGCAGAGCATAATGTTCTGTTAACACATATGTCATGCTTGTTCTTTCATACATAATGACTCACTTATGAAAGGTTATGTGCAGAAATGATTTACACACATGCATAGCTCTGTATGGATTTCTTAACCTCTCGTGTTTTGCAGAGCGTGTTTTGGCCTCAGTGCTGACATGGAACACAACCTGACTGATCTTCAACAACTGCAAACAGCCAAGGAATTCAACTGTGAGTCTTTGACATATGATTATTATTATTATTATTATTATTTTTTTTTTTTAAAGATTTATTTTGGGCTTTTCGTGCCTTTAATGCAGAGATAGGACAGTGGATAGAGTTGGAAACCAGGGAGAGAGAGCGGGGAATGACATGCGGAAAGAGGCCACGGGTGAACCTGGGCCTCCTGCTTGAGATGAGAGTCTCAATACATGGGACGCGCGCCCTAACCACTGCACCACCAGCGCGCCCCTGATATATGATTATTACATAGATGTCTGCTTACATTTATTTTATTACTTTGATCGACTCTTCACAAAAATTCTCAAACTCAATGAATTTGGATGCATATGACAGTTTTCACTGAACAGTAAAAACATGCAAAGATATTTTTTTGGCCCCTTTTGCCTTTTTATTAGATAGGACAGCTGAAAAGAGACAGGAAATGTTGGGAGGAGAGAGTGGGGGATGACAAGCAGCAAAGGGCCGAGGTTTAATTCAAACCCACGCCTGATGCAATGAGGACTATTGCCTCTGTACATGTACATACAACATAAACGCTAGGCTATCCGGCGCCCTCAAGAGTGAATTTGAACCATTACCATCAAACCTGGTGATACAGGGTGTCACGTTTTAATAAAGTCAGACTGAAGTGCTCTAGTGTTTACAGGCCAATTGAATGAGCAGCTGAATCCGAGATGAAAGCATATTAAAGGCGTCTGAATACTTGTTTGGTGTTTGAAATGTTGTCTCAAATGTTTGTATCTTTGCATCTTATCTTTAGTTTTTATGTTGCAAATGGAGCCTCTGTGATGCAAGACAACTTTCAGACTTTGTCTGACAAAGTTCAATGAATGAATCAGCCAATCAATCAATGTGCCATTCCCTTTTTCAGATTTGTGTGAGCTCTACTTGAACCAGTAAATGTTGAAATAGTATGAATCACGCGTCCAAACAAACCTACGCATGATGATGATTTGTCTCAGAAACTGTATTTAAATATACAAAATGCTTACACCATTTGCAACAAATTAGTTTTTTTGGGAAGTAATGAAAGACCTGTGCTCTAAACATTTTAATACACTGAACAATTATTTTTCAGTGTAAATCTATATTCTGAGGGGTTTGCCTTGGCTTGACAAACTACAGTTCTATCCCTGTTTGACCAATAAAGCAAAGTGTAGACAGGTTGTAGGTGAGTTTGTCATCACTGCAGTGAGCTGTGTAGCAGAGGAGAGAGCAGTGTGAGGGGGGGAAGCTATTGCTCCCTGGTCACCAGCTGTTCCTGCAGTCTGTGGCACGTTGGATGTTTCCACAGAGAAGGTTATGGGAAGCTCTGTTAAGATTAAGGCTTCCTCGCAGATAATGACGATTCCTGTGTTAATCAGGGTGTTGTGGCTGATGTTTGACGAAAAGGGTGATAGGTTAAGCGGTTGTTTTCAACATGTTTTTACTCTTGTTTCCTGTATGATAACCAATTCAGCAAAACAGGAGCTTTTTTTTAGCTGCTTGCAGAACACTCCCACTGGTATTTTTTTCCTCCTACACCTTAACTACATTTGAGTAAAGAGTTTTTTTCTCACTGCAAATTGTTTTCCATGTTTCCTCCTCTGAGAATTGTTACTGCACTAAAGCAAACAACAGCAAAGGAAAACCCTGTATCATAAAGTTACAGTATCTTGATGTATGCTACAAGTTATTTCATAAATAGCTTGGTTATACATAATTATTTACACATTACTATTTTTTCCTTCTGCAGGCAGCCTCTCCATCTCTCAGCCTTCTTTCTACAATGACACTTGCCGCCAAAGGCATAATAACACACTGCATCCCCTTGAAGGAGACCAGGTGGTCCCTTCCTCCAAGAGACGGACAATGTTAGGGGGTCTCCAGAGAGAAGCCAAACCTCTTCCACCTCTGCCTGACCCTGAGGAGCTCATGTCTGATGAGGCTGCTGATAGTGAGGTGGAGTTTTTTACCAGTGACCGACGGCGTTTGTTACCCAAAAGCTGCCCTAAGGCCATGTGCAGTAGCACAAACAGAGACTTTGGCCAAGTGAATTACGCCTACCAGGAGAGATTGATGCCTGCTGGTGGTGCTGGTATTGGCTCCATGGCTTTCTCTTGGCCATGCAGAGAGGAGAGACCAACCAGAAGGGGAAGCGGGTCTGGATCGAACATCTGGTCCCTGGCTCACCAGAGAGAGGACCAGCCAGAACAAAACCGATCATCCAGGCTCCGGTTTTCCTATTCAGGCTCCGCCTCCCAACCTTTTAACAGCACAACCTGCCTGGCTGAAAAGCCACTAGTTCCCCCCCGTATCCCCATCCCACCGAAACCTGCTGCTCTCCTAAAGACTCTGATTGCCAACGAGGAAGACAAGCCTCCCAAAATCCCCCCAAGAGTCCCCTTAGTACCCCCTTGCCCTCCACGTACTCCCAGTCCGAAAAGCCTTCCAATTTATATCAATGGTGTGATGCCTGCCACACAGAGTTTTGCTGCTAACCCAAAATATGTGAGTAAGGCATTACAGAGACAGCAGAGTGAAAGGGTGCCCCCTGCAGCTCAGTCAACACCCTGCATTGTTCCCATTTTGAAGGATGGCAGACAGGCCAGTGCTACGCACTACATCCTCCTACCGCCAGGCCTCCAGGCATTTTCAGAGCGGCGAGAAAGAATCCTGAGTGAACCGTCCAGAGCAGGAAACAGTGTTTGGCAGAACAGATAGAAACCCTCGCTTCATTCCTTCACTAAAACTTAAGTAGAAAACTGTGAGTTCAATTGACTGTGTGATTCACTATTGTAATGTGTGAAAACATCCGCATTCCATGTCTAATGTCATATTGGTTATATTTCCAGGGACTGATGTATTTCAGGATCACTTGTGTTACACAGTAATGTGAGGTTATTTCAAACTGAACATTTACCGCTCAGTATTTTTTTTGTATTATTTAAATACCACCTGTAATTCAACCAGAAAAACATCACGACAGTCCACTATTTATGTAAATGTTGCTTTTATATACAGTATATTAATTATTTTTGTTTTAATTTGGTTCACTGAGTTATTGCAGATTTCTTTCATGTTGATGAAAGAAGATTGATGTTTCATCAATAATTCTTAGTTCTAAAAGTAATTTACTCACTGCTTAAAGATTCTGAGCTAATTGTATGTTTCTCAGTATAAAGCAAATAATTACTGTACGGACAAGCTGGGCTTGTACCAAACTGTTGATCATGTGTCATTTTATGACGATGCTGCTTGAAATCTCAAGAAATTAAATTTAAAAAATAATTTTAGCATTTGGAGTTATGTTTATTAACGCGCAATGTGGCTGAGGTGAGAGTGGCACACTACCACGACATGTTATGAACTACAATGAAACCTTTAACTTCTAACTCTTCCTCAGTGCTTTCACTGTTTTATTACAAAGGTACATCTGACATGCAGAATACTCATTGTTCTCATTCAGGCAGTGATTCGTTCATCTTTTATGCTTGTGTGCACAACAAGTAATTTATTCAGAGATAAAAATGTGGGGGCGGAATAAACAAATAAGAGCAGCATCACCACATAAATAGAGAGAGCATGACTGAAACCTGCAGTCAACTTAAAAGTGAATGGCAGATCTTGAGTACAAATGGAGAACAGTGGTCAGGACATCATTTGTTTTCAGATCGATTTCACATCAGTAGGTGTTTGCATACACAGAGAGGCCTTTATTTTGAAAAACCTTGTGAAAAATGACTTAAATTTCATGATGTTAGGAGATAAGGGTGTATCAATGGTCAGAAAAAAAGACTTAAGTGTTTCTTTTTGTCCATCATGTTATGTTTACTCTGTTGAAGTGTGGAGCTGCGTTTACAACCATTGTTACATCAACAAGTCAGAAGTTCTCATGAAGGTTCTGTGTCAAATGTGGCTGCTTTGTAATATCATGTTGTTTGAATCAACTGAAATCTTTGTAAAATTGTTTTTAATCTATTTATAGAAATAAATAAAATAACTTATTCATCATATTCTTGGCTGAATGTTCCTTTTGCACATGTTATATGTACCAGTCGGTAACACCGTAATCTACTTTATCCTGGTGAAAAAATGATTCTATAAACAGGAAATATTCATGTTAACATTTTGGTGAAACAGAATTGGACACTTCAAACTGAATTTCTGAGAAAAAATTTAATGGAGCAGCAACATAAGTGGATGATCAAAACTGCTTACATTTGTTTGAGCTGCAGGAAAATTTACGCACTTAAAAAAACAAAACTTCTGATGGTCATTTTTCTTCCTGAAAGATGTCAGGTGAAGTCAGAGGGACGGTGACTTTGGAGGGAGAGTCTTAACAAAAGCACAATAACCTTCTCCCTTCATAGTCACAGTTCATATGACATTTTACTTAATAGTATTTGTCAAAAAGAAAATGTAGAAACTCTGGCATTGTACCAAATCATGCTCACATGTGTTGCAAACCCGAGTCTCTCTTTTCTCAAGCCACCAAATTAATCATTACTCTTGATTAGCACAGTCTAATGACACAAATAGTCTGGAAAAAAAAACTAACATTGTTGTAGCATCTAATGTTCACATATTCAGGAATTTCCACTCCACAGAAACTCCACAATTTATTAAATTCAAGTTTCATTCTATTTTAATCAGCAAAGGGGTTAAAAAAACTTCCAATCAAAATGACAGGAAGAAAAATAAATGTTCTACTGTGAAATAATTCCTTGTGCTTGCAAAATAAGTTAAAAAATAAACACGTAAAACCTTTATTAATTCTAACTCTCTCCCCAACCCTGCTGCCCCCTCACCCCTGCAGTTCATTATGGGCCTTAGACCAGTGTTCTTCTTCAGGCACGGCTCCAGCCGTTTCATCTCCTCGGGCTGAGGACCTTCATGCAGCCTCAGGGCTGTCAGAGACGGGATTCCACGGATCACTTTATCGCCATGCCCGGTTGAGCAGTTTGACTTCTGCCAGGCGTTTGCTGATCATGGTAGCAAAGAAAAGGGCGAAGAGCACGCTACTGATCAGCATGTAGTCGTAGTCGTCTTTTAGGACATCAAATTGTTTCGAGGGGTAGACACGAGTCTGGTAGATGTCAAGACCATATGCCACCACCTGCAAGATAAAAGAGTGACTGTCAAGTTTCCATCTGCATGGACTGAAGGAGAAATGAAAACCATAGGGTTTACTGTAGATGTTTTAAAGACAGACATCCCCTTAAAAAAGCTGATCAAATTCAGATACACTGATGCAAGACAACCAAGATTTTTTTTTTTTGTCAGACATGTCAGTTTTGCAATGACAGACTCACCAGGCAGGTGGACTCCAGTCCAGAGGGGGCAGTGTGAATTCCTCGCACTCTTGACACAGTCTGGTTATAGTTGATGAACCACTCTGTTCGGATCAGCAGCTCTGGTGCATACGGTATCAGGTTCTCTTCACTGGAAATTGAGGAAAACAGGTAAAGCACAGAGGAAGGGACAAAAAAAAAGCAAAAAACAAACATAGAACTTTCAAATATTTTGAACCAAGCCTTGCAGGACTCACCGGCTTTGCTCAGAAACTATTTCTGGCCTCCGAGGATCAAGGAACATTTTGGGTAACGACAGAATGCCTCCAGAGGGCAAGCCAACTGAAATAAAGGACATCAAAATAAATGTATTCAAAAAAAGGCAAATCAATGTTGAGAAGTCGTTTTTGTACATAACTGGAAATAATAACGAGAGACACTGTAACACTGTGCAGTCCATAAGACAAAACCCTCAATGACACTCACTAAGCAGATGGCGGCTGGTGATGCCTTTTTCAGTCAGCGTCGCCTCCATTGTAGAAATGGCAGAGGGGAAAATGTAAGACTGCTGAAGAACCTGAGGGGCATGAGGCCGATCCAGTGAGCTGAACACTGTGCTGTTGTAGAGCTCCATTCCTTCATACAGTTCGATCACAGAGAACTCATTCCTGCGAGATTTGGTACTCCAGAATTCATACTGCAGAGTCAAACAGACACAGGTAGTAAGAGCCAGGGATCTCTTATTTTTATAATATGAAGAGTGACTTCATCATACAATAAATACTCACCACCACCCAGTTTTCTGAGTGCACAACATGCACGGGTCCTTTGGCCTTTCTCTGAACGGCCTCGTGGATGATACGACCGGTCACGCCATCGATCAGGAGGATTCCGATAAAGCTTCGCTCCTGATGCAAGTCAGTGCTCTCAGTCACCACCGCCAGGAGATTAGGGTTGAGATACTGTAGGACAGGAAATAAAAAAACAATCAAGTACAGTAAATAATCAAGGTTAAAAAAATGCACATTATGTCTATAAGCACCATTTAGAGAAATCCATGTTTACTAAAACAAATTAAATGAGACATTTGACAATCTTTAACATCAAACTACTGCAAGACTATTTTCCAAATATACTATTGGGGTTATACAATTTTTTTTATAGGCAATATGATTATTCGAACAACAGATTTGCCAAATTAATTAATTTCATATTATTTAGAAATATCTGAAATATGTTCAGCCTTCTAAAGTTTGGAAACTGACCATTAGGTCGGGGATGTTCCTTGAAGATGGTAAATTAGATTTTCCCCTTTTTCATTTTGGTCAATTATAACTCAACCCAGAGGTCGCAAATGGCAGTGAGCTCAATGAGGAGATGTAGGGTTTCATCGTAAAATAGGACTCTCTTCAATTAGAAAACAGTTTGAACAACAAGTTTACAAATGTGCAATACCCGATACATCAAACTATAGGAGGGGCAGGTTACTGTGTGAGAAGAAAGGATGATTTTGCTCTTGTCTATATGATCCAGTTATTCACAAAAAATGAAAAGATCATGGCTACAATTGTGACAGCATGTTTCTGCACTGTTACTATCAGGGCCCACACTGTGGTTTTGGCTGCCTTGTTCAGTCTGGCCACATGCTGACACTGACCTCAAGTATCCCAACACTTACTGAACACATGATTGGATAGATTTGGTCTCCTTGTGATGATTCCCATTGCTTCTTGAGAACCCCCTTTTATTCTGATGAATCTCCCAGAAGGAACCCATTATTTTGTGTCCAGGCTGTCATACTCATACTGTGGGGGTATAATACACATTGCCTCCTCCAGAATACCCTGACAGAGTTTGCATCGTCATTCTAAAAATGGCTGCAGGAGTTGAAAAGGAACGGTCCCATGTATCAAAACATTTGAAAAATGGAACATTTAAAAAAAAAAAGAAAAAAAAAAAAGAGAGTATTTTTTTAAACTCCATGGAGGGGAGGGGGTATGATTCAGTGGGGAAACACTGACATGTGCGTCAGTAATTCTTGGTAAGATGACTTTCAGCCTACATCAGAAAACAGGTCCAGTGACGCCGAGTTTCTGACTAGATTGGAAAAGTCAAGACAACACAGACAAAAATCCAGCACCAACAAAGGCAATACTATTAGTTCAAACTTCTAACACTCCTTCCAAACCACAGTGAGAGTAAAGATATATGGAAAGTTAACAAACCTTATAGAGGACACTTCGGTCACCCATTACTCTGCCCTGGGAGTGCACATGCTCATTAGGCCTTTTCCCTTTGACCGAGATGATCCTCTGTACCTCGGTTGGCATGACGACGTCCCAGATCAGCTCAGTTGACAAGTCCTGAATGACCCAATGCATCCAGATTAAGACTTTCATTCCAATATCATTTAATTACAATTTAATAGTAGCTCACTGATCATTCTCTTAGTATGTTAAGCAAGACTTAACAACTCAAGTCTCTAAAGACTCTTCAACTGGTCCAGAACGCTGCAGCTCGTGTACTGACCAGAACCAGGAAAAGGGACCACATTACTCCTGTCTTGGCTTCTCTGCACTGGCTCCCTATACAGTCTAGAATAGAATTCAAGATCCTTCTTCTCACTTACAAAGCTCTAAATGGCCAGGCACCATCTTATCTTAAGGAGCTACTAGTGCCGTACTGTCCCTCGAGAGCGTTGCGGTCCCGGAGTGCAGGCCTGCTGGTGGTACCTACAGTCTCTAAGTGTACTATGGGGGGTAAAGCCTTCAGTTATCGGGCTCCTCTCCTCTGGAACCGCCTTCCAGCCGGGGTCCAGGAGGCAGACACAGTCTGTATTTTTAAGAATAGACTTAAAACTTTCCTTTTTGATAAATCTTATAGTTAGGGCTGGTGCTGGTGTAGACCAGCTCTTAGTTATGCTGCTATAGGCTTAGACTACCGGGGGAACTGGCACCTTGAGCTCCTCTCTCTCTCTCTCTCTCTCTCTCTGTGCATATACAGTACATCATATTACTGCATGTATCTATCTGTAAATCACAGTCACTAACCACCTACTTTCCTGGGAGCTCTTGAGCTCTCTTAGGCTCCTCAAGATCGTTGGTTGACGGCCTGTCAGAACAACCCCCACCCCCCACCCCCACCCCCACCCCCACGATCCTCCATGATGGATAGGCCGGGTCTTTGTAATATAGCAATAAGTAAGGTCTTTTACCTGCTTTTTGTAACATAACAATGAGTAAGGTCTTTTGTAATGTTAACAGACAAAGAGTAAGGTATTTTACCTGCTTTTTGTAAAGTATCTTGAGATAACACTTGTTATGAGTTGACGCTATACAAATAAATTGAATTGAATTGAAGACTCTGCATTAGAAGATGCTTTTAATGCTTTAATATTCCTCCAATTCCTATTGATAGAACCTCAATCTAAAGGTCAAATAAACTCTTAAAAAATAACTATTTTTCTATTAAGCATGTGTTGTGTTAAATATACCCGAGGAGCTTTTGATTCCTTTTTAATAATTGATATATAGTCAAGAGATGAAATACAACAGCAACTATCATCTAAGGCAGCAAGAGAAAGAAAAGGCTTGAATTATTTTCCTTGCAACTATTTTTGATTGTGTTTAACCATCCTCCAGTCATCTATGGCAACCAAAAACTACAGATTATTGGTGGCTAGGTTCTTGTTTGAAAACATTTCAGTCACATTGTGCAAAAGTTCAGCAGAATAAGGTTAACTTGCCGTCCGTAGCCGGTAGCCAGAAAGTCTTCCCTGACTAGAGTCAACAAGATAAAAGAATATGGAGGGAGCCATCTCCTGGAGCTGCTTTAGTACGTTCTTTGTGGAGGGAAAAGCAGACACCTGTGGAAAAAATAACAGACGGGTACAAAGACATGAATGGGGAAGGAAATACCACTACATGTGTTTTGGTACTAACAGGAGAAAGACTTCAGCATTCTCCACTGACCTTATACTGGTCATCAACAAGTAGTAAGACTTTGGCATAATCCTGGTCCATGACAGGCAGCAGGAGAGACTGAAGTATTGGCTGAGGCAGAGTGGGTGGAGTGACGTGACTCGTCTTTCCAAAGATGGGATTGAAAACATGGAGTGTGGCCAGGCCTGTATCCTAATGAAATATAAAATACACAAGAAATGTTGAAAAACAAACGCTCATATCTTCTATAGCTGCACAATATAAATCAATGTTCATCTTAAAGGTCCCATATTATACTTTTTCTGGTTTTATATGCTCTTTAGTGTGTTTTCCATGTGTCCTGTGCATGTTTAGGCACATCTATGTGCAAAAATTCAAAGTCCGCGGAAAAACGGCTTCTCTTACGTCCTCCTGTTAGCTGTAGCATTAGCTGCATGTAACGCTCGGTTCTAGCCCCCCTCGATAAAAATTTGTCAGTCCGACGTCATTGTCAGTGTGAGATCACTGATCTAAGCCCATTGGCTCGTTGTGGCAAGCCCAGCAGCTCATGTTGAAATTTCTGAGACGCGTGCTGAGCAACTGACCAATAACGACAGAGCAGATCGGCAGACCAATCAGAACAGACTTGGCCCACGTGGGGTCTAACAGTGTGGGCTCAACAGAGTGTAGCTGACAGACTCAGAGCAGAGAGGAAGCAAGGAGGAGCAGTACATGAAAACAGACACTTTTTTCAGACTTTATCTATTGTGAACGTACAAAAGTAGGTACATAGATTAAATATACGAACCCCAAAAAGGGCAGAATATGGGCTCTTTAAAAGGGATTCTTCACCCATTTACATTAATTAAGCTTTGTATAATTAGAAACCTAATAATATTTTTGAATAGTCGTGCATCCCGCCTTCATTTTCCCCTGAGAAGGGAAAGCTTTGTATTTCTTGTCTACAAAAGGAGCCTCCGATGACGCAAAAATCGTCATTTTGCGTCATCGGAGGCTGCTGTGGTTAGCGGGGTAACTACAACGCTAACTCTCCTCAACGCTCCTCATATTTTTGATCACTGAAGCTTCCTTCTGGAAGAAATCTTGGAATCAGTTGATGAAACAGTCGTATGTGTTGTAGTAAGTGTCTCTAAATAGAGGACCTTAGCTTCAGTGGGAGTGGCCTGCAGTGCTATGCACTCTGGGAGTTGTTGTCTTTCATCCACATGAGCCAAAAAGACGCTTTCTGCCTTTTCTCGGTCAAGAAGGCACCAACTTCAAAATTTATTTCACATTTCTACATATATGACCCAATGTCAATACAGATTCATGTTTTAACTGGTGAAGTATCCCTTTAAGTGCTGGTAACTGCAGGAGGAAAAAAAGTATGCTTTTGCCATGCATACAAGGCATCCCAAGAAAATAAAGAATGGCGTTTTGGAAGCTTGACGTGTAGACAAAGAGAGGAGGCTCCACATGGTCACACACCCAGACATGCACATTCACGGCACTGTTCTCTCCCACTGGCTCCGCCTTCTTACAGTAATCTTGTCTTGCCCCTGTAACACCTTTATTGCACAACATTTAAGATGTTACAGGCGCATAACTATGGCACCTTGAACTGGCAATGTGAAAATGTGATACCTTGTCTTTGATGAGCAGTGTGCACTGTGGTGGATGAGGGAAGTGTGCAGTCGTTCGTTGCACCATCAGTTTGAAGGCTGCGTTCGATGGGATGTTATCCAGGTAGTGCTTCCATAAAATACTGCCGGTTTTGCTGTCAATCCCAAAGAGCTTAATAGGAAATAATCAAAGGAAATTGGCATTTTTTAGAGAGGCTTGGTTAAGTGTGTTGATTAGTGTTCCCCTTTATTTTAGGCCTGAACTCAAATTCATGAAAACAGAAACAAAAGAGAGGGAAAGGTCTTGTACCTTCCCAGATGCAGTAACCATAACCATCATTTTCTGCAAGTTGAACTCATCTCTGGAGAGGTTCTCGATGGTCACATCATTTTTGACTTGACTGCGAGGCTTCCGTGCATCATAGAAGAGCTTCCAGAGGTGGGCGATCCAGGCCTGAAGCAAGATAAGCTGAGAGGAGAGCCTCTTCAGCACCATGGACAACAGGCCATCTAAAATGTTAAACAAACAAGACTTCATTCATTGTTCTTAATTTACATTAAACAATTCCAGCCATTGTAGAAGGAGGAGTAAAAGAAATGTTCAGAGGATATGGCGAGAGATCTTCAGATAACCTTAAGACGCCATTGGTCAAGTTTTATTAGTGAACAAAGTATTACCTTGAATGGCTGAATCCAAACGCAGCATTAAAACAGCACAAAAACAAAAGCAGGTGAAGCAAATTGCAATCAAGTGGTCACATTAAAATATCAGTTCAGGTAGCAGGATGTATGCAACCTTAATAATAAAAAACTAAAACTACACCATTTATGATTAAATACAGGTCCTTAGCAATTAAAACAGAAAAGCAACTATTCACTGATGTTCAATATAAGTTCTTCATCACTGGTATTATGAAACAACTGTTACAAAATACCCCTAAGATTTGGGAGCTGCCTTAAGTTTGTTTGACATGCAAAAGTCAGAAACAGTGTAATAAAATGAGAAGTAAAATCCTAAATCAAAAACTGAATATTAATCCATAGCTTGAAATAATCAGATAAGGGGTTAAGGATTGACATTTACCAGCCTTTTTGCCAAACTCTCCCTCCAGCTCTGCCTGCGTTCCTGTGAGAGGCAGATCCACCATTTCCATCGTCACCACATCTGCCAGGGCCTCCTCTCTTGTCCACATTACACGCCCTGGAAAATAACTCTCATTATTGATCTGTTATCATTCCTTCCACTTTCCACACCCTGTGACAGTTTGTGCTGATGCTTCCATGAATAACATAAAACACTGTTCTCACCTCAAGCTTGAGAAAATGACATGATTAGTTCAGACTACATTTGTAACAACTGTAGCTCTGTTTCGGCTCCTTGACTATTTTTATTTTGTATTTAATTGTGCACTGTGAGCTCTTTTTTGGCTATCCTTGCTCTTGGCTGCTGTTACACTGTAAATGTCTCCGTTGTGGGATAAATAAAGATTTATCTTATCTTATTATGTGTACACAATATAAACTGGTTTCTGCTCCACATAGTGGTCAAATGTTGGCAGTGTTTCCATGATTAAAATGTGAAGAAGTACACATTATTGCAAATGATGGCTCACCAGTCCCTTTGCCCTTAAGGATGATGCATTGAATCTCAAGGTTTAACTCAGTGAAGGACAGACTCTTAAAGTGTCCTTGAGTTACTTGAAAGGCGCAATATAAATCCAAGTAATTATTATTATTAAATCAATATTTGAAGCCATATCCCATTTGACTATAAACCCTATGTGGTTCCCTACAACCCACCTCCTGCAGACACCTAACAGTAGTGTCCAGTATGTCATATGTTTAGGATTCACTCGTGTCCCAAAATCAATAAACTAACTATTGTGAAAAAGTTGAAACAAATTTTATTTTGTGGCTATTACTGGACTCAGACCATGATTTCCCTGGGACCAAATCAAATTATTGAATACCCCCCCGTTCTATAATTAAACTGAATTTTACTTTTTTAAACTAACTTAACAAAAACTGGTCCACTTTAATGGCTGTAGTTATGAAAATAGACTCTAAAGGGTTTTTAAATACCTGGCTGTTGTATGAATGTGAGTGTGTGGTCTTCTGTCTGCACCATGACCCTGTAGCCAACAGAGTCATCTTTCTTGAGGAATGCCTGTACATGCAGCTGTGACAAAGAATAACAAGTCATAAACACTTCATGTTTGAAAGTTGCTATCATGCTCATGCTTTAAGAGCACAAATCATCTTAGTGAGTCGACTGATCTGCTCTGAAAGTAATCCTGTTACACTGAGGGTAAATGTGAAGCCTTGATGTCAAACAGAGGGTAAATGAAGACTCACCTTTTCTGGTTTACCACCATTAGGAACCATATTAAAAATGAGTGTCGTGTCGAGAAGTCTGCGTCCAGTTTCTGCACTGAATAGGTTAATAATGGAAGCCTAAAGAGGGAAACAGAAATTCAGATGTTTCCATTCACACATAATGAATACCAAGAGACAACTGAGACTAACCAGACACTGATGATATTTATCAGTTTTCAGAGCACAATGGCGAACAACTGATTTTACAAAACTAAAAGAGTGATGTCACTTCAACTCACAGTTTTATTCTTGGCAGACATGACAGCAGCAACAGTCTTCTCTCCAGTGGTTGCAAATGCAACAAGCATGGCCTATGATTTCAGACAAAAATGTTATCAACATTGTCAACAAAACAGTTTTCTACATGTACAGCTGTAATATCTAAAAGGAGCAATATGTAAGACATCTACTGAATTTAAGATGACCTTAATTTATCATCAGAAATGCTATGTTGAAATACTGGCATCTCTGACAACAATGCAGCAGCCAGTATGTCCTCCTTCTAACTTTAGATTCCGGACCAGAATAGTCTGTTTGTGATTTTACCAGAAAAGGTAGAAAGTTTCAAGGCACCCCTACACAGCCGTTTTGGATGCTCCTCGGTTTGCTAGATATCAGACCAGCTATCATGGCAAACCAACAGATGTTGCAGGGATGGAAGCAGGCAAACCAATTGGTTCAGAAATAACTGATTCTACCCAATCTAAGAAGCTCCACCACCAGACACATGTTATAATTAGGATAAATATTGTTGATGCTTTGAAAAAAATGGAGCGTGGTTAGAACGCAGAAACGTTTAAAGAATGATGCAGAGCTGGCTAATAGCTAATATTTTGGATTTTAATTGTTGAGGCGTGTTTAAGAGAGAAGTGTGTGTAGCAGAATAAAACAGACATACAGGCTTGAAATCCCTCAGTGTGACTATCTGTCCATCGTTGAGCTGGAGAAGTAGGTGGTGTTCAGGCGCGAGCTGAAGGAAAAACTCGGACAGTGGCTGGCGGGCTGGGTTGGGCTGGGTGGAGACCAGTACAGGATGGAAGCCTGGGGCAACTTCAAGTCCCAGTGACTAAAAAAAACACACCATAAAAATATGATACAAAGGGTTTTTTTCCACAGAAAAAAAGAAGACATAGGTATAAAGAAAGACAATCCAGTTCTTTACCTGCAAGGGGATCTGGGTCATCTGTGACTGCACATGCAAGTCAAGCATGTACAGGGATACAGATGGAGAGTCCACACACAGTAACATCCCCTCACCAATTACTACACAGTTGGCCTGTATGTTGGACAGCCATGGGGCTTCAACTGAGATCTGGACACGGCACAAGCAGAAAGACAAAATTATTCTCTGGAACATCAGCCATAGGATAATATGTAGTACAATAACAATGCTTTATGCAAACCTGTTTGATTATCTCTCCATCGTCCAAACTGTAAGCAACAATAGCAACGTGGGAATGAGGAACGACTCCCAGTGCGTACACCTCACCATTTCCACCAGAGTACACAGCCTGGTAATCCACTGTTTCACTGTAGGGGAAAAAAGACAGACAATTATAATGTGTAATCTATAGAATGCAAACTTAGTTAATAACCTAAATAATGTGTGCCCTTATTCTCTGGACGTGTTTGCTGCTTAAGTACTTTTTTTTTTACTGTTCTATCTTGTTAAGCCCTAATTCATAATGACCTGCAGACACAATTTATTCACATGATTTGATTTTTCCAAATCTCAGAGAGTTCACTTGACTGCGTGTATAAAAAAAGATACTGAAGTTCTTGAAAATACAATCAATTCTATTCTATTCATCATTCTTATTTCACTATTTTGAACATTATTTTCCAAAATATATACCACCATTATTTCCAAAAGTTTACACCACTATTAAATACAACCTCTAGCATCTTGTAATACAAAATGCATTATCTTCTTTAGTCACCTCTCTCACTTTCAAGGCCCAACTGGTTGTGGCATATAGCTGATGTTGGGTGTCTTTGAATAAAATTTAGGTATAAATAAGCATTTAGTATTTTAGTATTTTGAGTCATTGATTGAGAAAGTAGAAATAATTGTAAAAGTACAGATTAACAAGATGTTTAATTTACTTGGAAGACCAAGTGACACCAATAATGATGTAAAGCAAAAGTATCCTTATATGTCTGCAAACATGTTTGGATACAATATCTAATTTATTATGGAGACATCTTGTTAATGAAGACAGGCTTATATTGTAAGTAATTAGACATAAATCGTGCATCATCAATGTTGGTCCAAATTTATATATATATAAAAAAACACTCACCTTTCTGGTAGATTCTCTATCCATTTCTGATGACCATTAGAAAGATAATGGAGAGAGATGGCAGTTTTCTTCAAAACAGCCACGTGTTTTGTGTTTTCTTGCTGTCCAACTAGACATGCTGACTGAAAACTAAAACGTAAAAAAAGAAGATGTTAGTGCCTGATGAAATCGAAATTCTGAACCTAAGTACTTCAAGTCAAGGAAATTATTACCTGCCAGAGTCAAGCACAACCTCCCAATTCAAACCACCAACATTTATGTCCCAGGAGCGCAGCAGGCGACCATTACCAACCACCAGCATGGCATCTAATAAACAGGAACATTTTAATCAGTTTGTTTCAGGGATCTCGACACTCTCAATGTCACTGGCAAAATTACCTTGTCCATGATGCAGAAGAGCATCAATGTTTCCCTCTGGCCCAGTTTTATCCACATGTCGCCAGACTACAAAAACACATTGAAAAAAATACAAGATTAAGAACACAGCTTGTCAAATTAGAGATAGATTTACTACTTGGATCCCCTGAACAATAAAATACTCACAGAGTTCTCCAGTCCTTGTATTGAGTGCAGCAAAAACATTATTCTCTGTTGCCACAAGAACCTTTTTGGAGGACTGCACATGTTGGTCGAAATTGGAAAAGCGTGCCTTGCCAACATATTGTTGCCTCCTACGAATAAAAAAAACAGAGAACAAACTCTCAATAAGAAAACAAACCAGCAGTTTACAATATTCGCCGGTCTAACGCTTGAATCAATTAAATAGTAGGTAAATAATAATAATAATAATAATAATAATAATAATAATAATAGTGTAGATGGATAGATAGATACTCTTTATTGTCATTGTGTAAGAACACAACGGAACTTTGTTAGCAGCAATCTGTACAGCAGCGTAAAAAATAAAATTATGTTCACATATATAATATATATTTGTAGCTATAAACATGGTTATAATGTGTATGTTCTTTTACTCATTGAACCAAGTGGACGGTGACTTTCCTAGTGGCAAATTCGTTTTTTGAACAAGCCTACGCTACCTGAAACAAGGCACTACACACATTATCATGGATTAATTTTACATTTTTTTGGCCTGTTTTCTTTCACACACCCAACACACCGGGTAGCAGCTAGTGATTGTGACAGGTGTTAGCATTAGCATCTCCACATTAACATATCGCTCCTAATCGCACACATATTCGATCTTACCAATATTATTCTTACCAGTCAAATTTTCCTACTTGATCCTCAAAAACGGCGTCGACATTGATGTATAACGCGATAAATGTCAAGCACAAGACAATTAGCTTTGCCATTGCAGCAGTAGCTTTGGCTTGCTCTTCGAAGGAGGAAGGAAGTCGAAAGTCGACTCTCTACATTTTTGTGCAGTGATTGAGAGGGTCTGCCCCCTACAGGCTGTGTGTACAAACAAACAGCTTTACAAAATGTAATGCAGTAATAATAGAGAATATATTTTAAAAGTTGATTAACAAATACATCTTTTGTAATAATGAACCTAGCTTTTCATCCAAGACATACGGTCACACATTTTACTATCTTATTTCAGTCCAACGTTTTTGTCCTCTGGTTAAAATTGTTTTGCCACTTATCAATCATTAAAGGAGGAGCAATACTCTTATAATACATTGATTATAGCCCTAAGGATCTTAGGAAATAGAAGAACTTACCATTGAGCTTGATTGCTGATCTTCAATGAAGTCCTGATGAAGTCAAGAGAGCTAGGAAGTGAACCACTGTAATTCAATAAAGGAAAGATAATATATAAATCTGTTAGATTTATTATTCACATGTTGATTCATGACATAACAATAACAACTTATTGTTGTATTTCCATTTGCAAATATGACCTATGACCTAATTCATGATGACAGCTAATTGTATATGCGATAAAACCTTCCTCTAAATAGAGGAAAAACAGCGTTTGTAAATGTGTTTAGTTTGTTTGTTTGAGAGCGCCCCCTGTGATTGAAGCTCCTTTGCATCTTCTTCGAGTTGCTAGGTTTTTTAAGGGATTTCAAGATGGCGTCGAGCGGAGGAGATGGGGAACACGAATGGACAGCGGCAGTCCGACCGCTTTTATCAGCTTCGTACACCGCTTTTGAAACGAAAGAGCTACCTCAGCTTATTGGGTCTATAATCAACAGGTAACCGGTCGCATGTCAATAAATTTAGTGTATCTGTTTGCTCAAATACTGGCCGTGTCCACCCAGGAGTGCGCTGACGGCTAACATGCTAACTTAGCTTGGTTAGTTAAATTCGATAGGAAATGTTACACGCCAAGCTAACATTAGCAGCTAGCAAGCTACTTCAGCTTAATTTGCACTGGCAGCGAGTCAGTTGCTGTTGTTAGCTAATGTGCTAACTGCTGGTTCTTGACTTAGTCAAACGCTATTTAGCTTGCCATTGCTGTTGACCCATAAAACAATTGAAACAAGGCACATCCTTAGACTGATGTGTGTCGATTATTAACATGTTTTTATTGCAGTGTAAACTCAAATCAACGCCCTAGTGTAACGCTTAGAAAATTTGCTTCATCATTAGCTAGCTAACACAAACATTAGCTAGGAGGCTAACAAATGGGCCTTTAAAACGGACTGAATAACGTTACGTTAAAATGGCTTTGCCAGGATACATTTTGGCTACGTCAGCGTCAAGCTGGTCAAATTTGATAAGATTTATATGATGAACTTGTGGCGGTTGGTCTTCTTTAAGCATGACAACGGATAGTTTAAACGTTAACTGAGGTTTAAGGTTATCTTGTGTATGTCTGTGGTTGAGTTAAAGTAGGCGGGGACCTTGACTCTCAAGTTATGGTTGATGTTTGTAGTAGTACAACAGTAACTTAGTTTATTGCTACTTTGTAAAGCAGTGAATAGATGAATTGTAAAACAAATGGACATAGTCTAGCTTAACGGCTAGAAAGGTGTATCAGTCCATGCATTGCGAAATAAATTATGTAGATTGGCATGGTTATTTAAGAGTATTGCGTTTCCCCATAAAACTGGATAGAATATGGACAATCTACCAGGTCATACATCAACACAAAGCGACTATCAAGTCAGTAGTTCTGTCACGATAGCCAGGCTGTCACTGGACACTCCTGGCGACATCAGCTGATCGCTCGAGGAACTCTAGTGAAGATCTTCCTGCGTTGTTTTTAGGTTTCATTTTCTGACGAAACATTTCACCTGCTGCAAATTTGAGCAGTCACCCTGATTCATGGCCTGATAGTTTCGTTTATAAATAAAACACCCAACTGTGCTTGTATTTAATCAATGTCAATGCTTATTGTGAAAGTTCACTTTTAAGCTATAGTATCAAATGCAAAATACTTTCTCAGATATATTTAAGCGAGAATTACAAGGTTTCGGCATCCTCAACATTATGCTTGCTTATACTTTTAAGAGCAACATTAGGAATTCTAATAATTGTGTTATTCAATAAAAGGAAAAATCTCACATTAAAATTAAGCTTAAATGAAGCTTTTGAGCATCAAACAAGTAATTCTAGTTGTCTGCTGGTATATAATTTGTGCACGAGTTTGGCCAAAAAAATGCTTATTTATAACCCTTTATTATTGTGAAAGGACCGCCCGCGTTGAGGACTATAGCCTCCATATATGGGACTCAAGCACTAACCACTGCGCCACCAACGTCCCAAATAATTAATCTTTTAGTTCCTTCATGAATGTCAAATCTCACATAATGGCAGATGTTAAGTGATATCATTCACATGGAGTTTGATGATGAACATGAAAGACACAGACACACAAAAGACACAGACACACACTTCTTCACCTGAGCTGTTTTCTTGCCTACCAGAATTATGAATTAGCCAGATTTTAACATAATTCACTGTCTAAAATTTTACTGCAGAAAAATGAAAACAGTTTTTTTTATCGAGCTGATTCCATGACTTGACCCTGACTGTAATTATTATGAGCTCCTTGTCTCTTCATGCCGTAGTGTGAATGTTTTGTGTATCACATTAACAAATGAAACTTGTTTTTATCTGTTTATTTATGTTTTTTATTCTATGGCACTTCTTCAATACGTCTCATGCAACACATTACAACACTGTAACTGTGCTGAATATGATATAGGCTAAATAATATTTATACATATTATACTATAATTGGTGCTTGAGAAAGAGGGAGAGAGCATATGCATACTTACAGAAATGCAGATGTAAAACAAAAATGTCACATTTTATCATGAAGCCTTGTGAAGTTTATGAAATCTGGTTTATAATCTAGATTTTCTAATGGTCACAGTTGTCTGAAATCAATGTTCCCTCTGTCTGAAGGCTGAACACATGTTTGGAGATCAGCACAGGTGTTTATAAATTACTAAATCATTGAAAGGGACAATTCATTGATAGATAGATATTGTTATATTGTAGGGCATGCATGTAAAGCAGCGTAGCAGAAAATAAACACCAACCCTCTCACTGAAAACTTTTGACATGTTTCTCTTTCTTCACTTTTTTTCCTCTTTTGTTGTTTTCTGGTGCACTGTACAGAGTGTTTACGATACAGCACTATCACCTTATTGGCCTACAGCTCTAATTTCAATTAGAAATGACAAATTCACCAGATGCTGTATCTTGAAAACTGTGTTTTCCATTAAAAAACAAGCGTCAGCCTTTGACAAGGGTTGTTGGCGGTACGTAATTAGGTGGAGACGGCTGCCTCCAAGTTTTCAATGCTGTTTATTGCCCACCAAGGGCTGCAATAATAGAAAATGGACCCTTTTCAGAGTTATGAATATGTTTACAACTGGAGAGTGCGTTTGTAAGCAAGTTTGGATTTTCAATTTAACTTATTCTAAATATCAGAAACGGCAAACAATATTGGCTGTTCCTTAGAAAAGTACTTAACAGCAATAGGCATTTTTATGTGATAGTTTCTTTTAGAGTCTGGAGCTAATGACCCATGTTTTGTGTAAATCATGTATGATAGTATTTAATGAGATTATCCTCTTGTTTTTTGCAGTGAATCTGACATCCTTCACCATGACAAACAGTATGAGCCGTTCTACTCATCATTCGTGGCACTCTCTGCACACTACATCACCACCGTATGTGGACAAAGTATGTATTTTAATTTTCTTCTAACTGTAATTGATTTACCATTTTAACAGTAATTCACAGAAAATATTTCAATGTTACTGTTTTTTTTCCCAGTACCAAGAAATCAGCTGCTGTCGGTTGCTGCAGCATGTAAGGTATTGATAGAGTTCTCATTGCTGCGCTTGGAGAACCCAGACGAGGCATGTGCTGTATCACAGGTAAGAGAAACAAACTGCATGAGGAATTTGGATGTTCTGGGATTGCATTCAATTGTAAACATTTGATCAGTTGTAAATAAATGGACATTCATCAGCCACAACAACATTTTGCCAGGTTCTCTCTGTCAGCCACTTTGGCCTAATTTTGTTGTATTGAATTTTGCAAGTATGTTTTGTCATTTTAAATGTGTCTGATTTCAGTTTGAAAGGCCATTGTTCACTGTCTAAAGCCTACAAGCTAAACTGAGAAACCTCTTTTCCCCACCAGAAACATCTAATTCTTCTCATAAAAGGACTTTGCACTGGCTGCAGCAGACTAGATCGCACAGAAATCATTACTTTCACCGCTATGATGAAATCTGCCAAGTTGCCTCAAACTGTCAAGACCCTTTCAGATGGTGAGTGTCCCTGACAGTACAATCCAAAGTTAAAGTATACTTGCTTACAATCTCACTCTCCAGTTGTAAACATATTCATAACTCTGAGATGACATTACCCTACCAAAGGAAAATGATTCACATATTTTCATTAACTGGGACAACCAGTAATTCCACTGAGGCAGCTGAAGGAGCAATTTGGAGTCTGTGCTTATAAGTTTTATATTTTAATTAATTGTATAGATTATGGTATTGATTGCTGCAGTCATTTTCTATTATTTGTATTTGTATTCATCCAAAGCGGTACTAGCGTATTGCCTTTTGCAAAGAGAAATCTTCAAAGCTTTGTGTGTCTGTGACAATTGTGTCCTTATTCATTTTATAGTGGAAGATCAGAAGGAGTTGCCCAGTGCTGTGAACCCGGAGCTACGACAAAAAGAAGTACAAATGAACTTCTTTAATCAACTGACTTCAGTTTTTAACCCTGACCTTACCACCATCTTGGCCTCCCCATCAGCAGCACACATGCAGGCAAGTACTACAGACCTACAGCTTTTGAATTGCCCAATCCATAGCTGTCAACCATGACGGACAGATAAAGTTTCCTGTAATAATTGTTAGTTCGTCCTTATCGTTTTTAATAAAAATAAAAGGTATCTCAATATTATCTTGTGACTTAGTT